GTTTGTAACGGGGTCAGGGTATATTTAAATAACGAATTTTGATAACGAAAGCTCTTCACTAACAAAATCTTAAAATCAAAATTCAATCAATGAAAAATTGGAGACAGGTTTTCTTTTCGTAATATTCCCTTCCAAACGAACCCACGGGATTATTAAATATTTACAGGTATCGAAGCAAGAACACCTTCTACTAGCACCGTGGAACGGGAAGAATACGAAATGGCAACTACCCAGGAAAACCCACAAAATAATGTTTGTCCAGAGCAATTCGTGGCCGCCCCTGACGTTGCTGAGGCGAGTGAGGTACCGCCTTCCAGTGAGTGTAATACTCTTGAAGAACGCGACACAACTGAAACTTCATCTAAAGCCGAGGGTGAAAAAATCGAAAATAAATTGTCGCTTGAAGAAATCCATAATCGGTACCATATCTCCGAAGAAGACAAGGGGATGGAATCTGGTTCCAATGACTCTCGTATAAAACGCGGCTTCCAAGAAGACTGTACACACTGTCTAAGGTCACTCCCAAGATGTCGGTACACACCTACATCATCTGATGATGAAGAAGAGGAAGAGGAAGTAAATTATGACTGGGAGCATTATTACGCAGACGTGGACTTATATGAAGAAATAGGCTATGTGCCCGACGAAGCGGGAGACGTAGAAAGTAATTACACAATTGACCTCACATTATCCCGTACTTCACTCGATGAGTTGAATTCCAAGGCGTCGACTAGTAAAGATAATTAGGTTGGGGAGAAATTTGTGCCAAAATTCAAGTCATTAAATATTATAAGTAATCGTGATTAATATTAGTAATTTTTAACATCACTTTAAAGGTTTTTATTCGACTCTCATTTTATGATCGAATAATCACCTGTATATAAATTTAATCAAATGTGTTGTGATGCTTTGCGAAGTATAATTTTTTATTGTTTGCTATACCACCATTACTCTAAGCGAAATTACATATCTAGCCAATATAAAAATAATTATAAAGAATATATTTTTTTTTTCATATACGAGTATATAATGATTGTGCGTGTAACGGGATCAGGGTATATTTAAATAACGATTTCGGCTATATTATTAAAACTATTATTAACTTTTTCTCCAGAATAATAGTAATAGTAAGCGTTTTATTTTCAATTTTATGATACTAAGTGAGGGGACTAACCTGTCGTGCGCCTGGTGGTAAGCGACACGCCTGTCCGTAAAAGTTGCAGTGCCACTCAGAGCTTTAAATCATAAAGATTTGAGACATAAGTTGATAAGTCCCATGTCCCTGTAATTTCATTAGCTTATAAATACTCTCACTGCTGGGCACTGGTCTCCTCTTTCAATGAGAGAGCTTAATCTGCAATTTCCGGACGGGTCTAATACGGATTGGGAACTTCGCACACATTAAATTGCTTTGCGGGTGTGTGCAGGTTTCCTCGTGACGTTTACCTTCACCGAAAAGCTCGTAGTAAATTACAAGTTCGGATTCGAGCCTACGACCCTCTACTTGAGAGGCGGTAGGTCAAACCATTAGGTTACCGCAGCTTATAATAATAAATTAGAATGATAAATGATAATCCAGCCAAATAAATAAAATATACCCTGTACATCTCAGTGAATTATTTGGTGTTGTACTTAGTGGTATCTATAGACATTGTACAATATCTATGACTGTTTAAATCTTTTCAAAAGGCCTAAGTAAGTACTAGGATAACAAAAATTTGAAGACAGTTTTTATTGAGTCTTCGTTTTGTTTTTCTATTTTTCAAATTGGTTCACAATATGGGCGCTGTATGCTGACATCTGGGCTAGACTTCCTATAAGTACTCATATAGATGGAATACCCTAGATTGAGACCAGGCAATTGGTGTGATTGTCTGGCACATTATTATATTAAATGTACTAAGTACATATTCGTATCAAGTAATAAAAAATATATTATAAGCTCTTAAATATTAAAATCTTAAAATCAATACATATGTAAAATTGGGGACAGGGTGATTTTTGTAAGAATATAACGAAAAATATTATGGAATACCGTTCCCAATGAAACCACGGAATTAATAAATAATTAAAAATATGTCAAAAGTAAGACAAAACCAATTCATAATCATCCAATAAAAAATAAAATCGGCAAATGAAAATATAATTGCAGTAACAATGGAGATTCGTAAACATTTCTGCACCAAATAAACGTTACTGTCAGTCAGAAACTACACTTTCCTTGTACGTTTTTATTTCTTGTTAGTTAACTAAAATTCTTTTCACAAAAATTATGACTAAAATTAGTTATTATTACACGCACACAAATTTCATTACATTTTCGGGAACAATAAAACAACTTGTAAGATTAAACACTTGTATTTTTGTACCAAAAACTATATTACTATTAATTTATTGTGTCTATATACCTACCCTTTTATATCAACTGTATTTTAGAGTTAACTTTTTAGAGGACTTGTTCAAATGTATCAGTATTAAAATTACATCAACGTCCAGCTCACTGAGCAATTCAGTACTTTTTGTGTAACGTAGTAATTGTATAAGGATTAAATACACAAAAAAATTATTAAATAAAATAAAAAATAATGGGAAAAATACATGCTTTTTGTTGTTTGATTATTAACCATTTGTGTTCTAATGCTGGATTACACTTAGCTACAGATCAATAAAATACAAACTTTCACTTTTCTATCTGCTGAATGAACAAATGTACATGTGCAGTAGAGCTCCTTGTGAAAGAGTTCGTCCAGGGTAGTACTACTGCCACCTTACCTATTTCTGCCGCCAAGCAGTAATGTCAGCATTACTGTGTTCCGGTTTTGAAGGGCTAGGGTGCTGGTGAAATTACAGGCACATGGGATTTGTCAACTTATGTCTCAAAGTGACGGGCACAGTGGTAGGGCACTACCGCTAAACTTTGCAATTTAAAGCTCTGAGTAGCACTATAACTGTTATGGACAGGTGTGTCGGTTACCATCAGGTACACGACTTGTTCGTCCCGTCCCTGTATGTTATAAAAAAAATTTGAACCATTTTGGAACTAAGAAAATTTTGAAGAGTTTGCATAGGATTAGTTGTGGCCATAGTACTTACGTGCTACTTCAATATTTCAGAGATTGAAGTGAAACGAATACATAGATATTGAAATATTCATTATTTTACTAGTCCATTAACTAATGGAGTGGTGATTTATTATATAAAACAAGCATGTCACCTGCAGTCGGTAGTTAGTATAATTATTTATAACAAAATTTATTTTGTCGCATGTATTGTGTTTTGACACTAAATAGCATGCTGTAAGTATGGAAGGTAGTCCGCAACGTCTCTGGCATCTGTGTTATAACTTCTGTGCCGTGAATTATAGTTAGATAAATCGTTTTTGCGTTTTGATTACTATTATTTAGCCTGCGTTTTGTAGAATATAACCTGTATACAACTTTAAGCCCAATCCAATTATTATTTTCTACAGCCTTAGAATTCTGCTTGCGAGTCGGCTATATTCAATAAGTTATTTTGTTCAGGTATCAAGCCGACGTAAAAATAAAACTTTACCATATTATTGAACTTACGGCTTGCATTCCTGCTCTCCAGGTGACCAGTTGGCTGACAGCTTCACCTGCGTAGGCAATGTCTACCAGAAGGCCCAAGGCCACGCATTGCACAGGGTAACAGGTTAACTACAAAAGAGTTATACATCACGGTCAGCTTCTAATTTAATGGATCACACTGAAAGCATGTTGTTCGAAATTAAATAAAATTAATAAAACATCAACACCGCTTCCCGTTATTCATAAGGAAAAACTTAATAGTCGTCCTGAGGATCCTCTTTTTAAAGACTGTAAAAAATTTAATGTAGGTACAAACCTACTATACATACATAGGCACTAGGTAGAATTAGGTAGGGTCGTCTGTTAAAGCGACTTGTCTGGCATCGATTGATTTTGCTACGCATGCGTCGGTATACTGAAAGCATCACAGATTGGTAGATGCATATTGTTCCCGGATTTATTGCAATCTGTAATTTCTAGTTGTACTATACAGTATATACACAAGCCTTACGCGGTCTTTACTGTAGGTACCAAAACCAGACGGGCCTTATAAGGGAGCGAGGGGTAACTCCCCTCCGTTTTATGAATCTAACGGTCATCTCTTTCGGCGGGTTTTCATTTCATTCGAAAATAAACAAACAAATATTAAAAATTGATCACCAACAATATAAACTAAATATATTTTTGAAAAATGAACAGAGCTTTACTTGAAGATCAAAATGCAATCCTGCACTTTACCGTTGTAATTCATTTAGACATTAATTATCAATCAAATTAAATTCCAATAAAACTTCACACGATATAAATATCTTGTTGAATTATTATATCGTGACGTCATATTTTTTTGCTGTCTTATGACTGTTTTTTGTTCCATATATATAATATATCGAGTCGTAACCCAACCATTTTTACCTAAACAGCGTTTTTTATTGCAAATGATATTTTAAACTAATGGACAAGGGCGCGTCGACATTGCTCGTCAAAATTACATCAAATAGAATTTATAGCAAAAGCGAAGTTAATCGTTTTTATGAAAGTTTTTTTGTATTTTAGTGTAACCGACAGAATCTGTATTAAAAAATCATAACATAAGCGACCCCACTTGTAATCGCAACCAACATATTAGTACATTACTATTTTCGTCGTTTGCATATTTTTAATCGCAAGTGTCACCTTAAACGACTGAAAGCTTAAAAAAAATCTTTATATAGGATTATTGACCTACTAACAAATTACAGGATAGCAAAAATAATGTGAGCGCCAAAAAGAATTTATATTGTTTGAGTTTGATTGAAGGTAAAATTGATTAAAAGCTTAGGCAACTTCCATTCGAAGCATTGACTTATAATTATATTCTAAGCAATCAATTGCTAAGATTTTTGTGTTGGTGGTTTTGTATAATGCTCTATTTACTTTTTTAATGGCGTGGTAACAGTAGACATCATACAGGTTATTTTGCCGAACAAAAAATAAAAATAAGTAAGTTGGGGCAAGATGATTATGGTTTTGGTGTACTTGTACTTGTACTGTATATATTGTTAATGAACCATATTTAATTTATATGCTTTTCTGAGTACTGAAACCTCTTAATTAAATAGCTTGCAATACGAATAAAATAGTAGAAGACTGGATTTCGTTTACATGATCGATCTCGATTAATAACAAATATAAATGCTTTTTCTTGTTTTAGACCAGGCCGCGTAATTGCAAAAGAAAAACCATCCATGGTGGGTAGTCGGAAGACTATGATCTAAAGAACTAGAGGCGTAAAAAGTAGGACGCCACGTAAATCGGCAAGTAAATAGTTAGCAGTAGGTACGCGTTATGTCATTAAAAAGACGGGCTAAAAATTAAAATAAAGGGTCTGTCAGTTCAATGAAATATTTAGGTGAAAAAAAACCTGTTAAATCAGATATGTTAAACAGGAAATCGAGCTCGTAAAGTACATTAAAGAAATGGAGACGAAGATGGATATCAACTTGCAATAAAAAGCAATATCGCCCACCCTTAGATATCTGTAAGATATAAATTAATTAGGATTATTTGTTCTCGAAGTTCCGTAACTGTTGTTTCATATACCTAGATTACATAAGTGAGGACTTTGTGAAGTCTAAAAAGTTGTTGTTTTCATTTGTTTCTACCAAAACCTAGAAATTTTCCTAAATAGAGGCAAGGTGATCCCCTGGATCATCTTGCCCGTACCCTTAGGATCACCTTGGACACCCCGGTGTCCAAGACGATCCTTTAGTAGGGTTTTAAAATATATTCAAATATAATAATGAAAGATCAAAAAATAAAACGGTTTTAGTAAGACGTGTGAATAGATACATTTTCTATCATTCAACGCTTTTACATCTGCTTTAAGCTGAATATCTTTTAATCTACCACAAATCTCCCTTAAGGAAATCATCATCTGGTACACCTTTCCCCTACACCTTTTGGGTCCTCTCTAAAAAATAAACTTTACAAAACAATTTGATAGCGGGCGGAGTTAAAAAATTGTTTCTTTTCGTGGCCGGGCCGCTTCTTAAGGACCTATACTTTTACGGAAACGCTTGTGAATACGAATAATAACCAGATCAAAGACAGTGCCCGTCTATGAGGAACCGACAAACGTTTATCTGTACAGGCTCCAAATCGACACGAGAAGGCATGAAGTACTTCTTCAATTGTCCATGGCTGTGTCACCAGTAATTACCTTGCTGGTACTTTTAGTTAAATTATAATGGCGACCAGTAAAACATATTAGCTAGTTTCTACCTTAAAATACAATTATAAAGTACACTCAGAGTCGTATTCTAAAACTCTACTCAATACTCAAGTCAGGACTTGTGTATTGCAGTGAGCACTGAAAATCATACTCAAATCCTTGCCATTAGGATCGTATTTCCAGTGCTTGAAATCATACTCAAGTCTGCTCAAGTCCTGACTTGAGCATTGAGTTGATTTCTGGAATACGACTCTTAGTCACAGTTATACAAATGTTACTTTTTTAAAGTGTAAATTTAAACGCTTTTGAAATTGAGATTCACTTTTTCAACGAAGAGGCAAGCAAATGCTTCCAAACTGGAATCACCACGTCGAAAAATCGAAAAGTTATGGCCTGGGGAAGCATGTATCACCCTTGTCCATATTGTCACGACGTTCTTACATAAAAAAATCGTTTTAACAAGTTTTTAGTGCACCACCCCTTACACCAGGTACAAATCAATTATTACTATAAATTTTTGTTACAAACGTAACTAAGATATTGTACACACCGTGACTAGATCTAGTAGTTGATAGACGCCTTTGTTTGCTATAAACATATTTCTGTATTCATCTTTCCATACAACAGCGTGCCAAATGAATGTTAGTAAGGATATCATCCATCTGCAAAAGAAGATAAATATACATTGTATGTTTATTCTAAGTATGTTAAAACAATACACCACTATGCATTTGGATGACAAAACTCCTGAGTGTAATGCGTTCAGCTCTTTCAGACTATTACTATCTTTGTGTTTCTAAATAATAATTTTAACGTAATGATCTACATAAAAACAGCAACTTTGGGGCTCTTACTCATTCCTCTCAAGGGAAAATGACTTACGAGTCAACGAAGTGTTTAGTTGAGTTTAGGATTTGGATTGTAATTAGCTTTTGTATGAAATAGAAATATGTATATTGAATTCTGAATTTATGGTCAGGCTGTTACGTAGACGTCAAACGAGTCGACCTTCCCCTTTATAGCACGGGAATCCTGGTGGAAATCGGGTTGCGGAGGCGTAGTGGTGAATCTGCGTGATCCATAGATTCCCACAGCGCACAGTAGTGCAATGGCGGAAAAAAGTATTTTTTTATCGAGTTCTTAGGTTTTTGCGATTGTTACACATAGGAAATGAAACTATTTTTCCGGATTTAAATCGCGTATATTTGTTTTTTCAAACACACCTTTGTTTGTTGGTTTGTTTGAAAAAACAAATATACGCGATTTAAATCCGGAAATATACTTTCATTTCCTAAAGTATTTTTTGTGAACATTTATCATTTAAACAAATTTTACATTATATATACAACACTATACACTCCATAGACACAAAAACTACAAAAACAAATTGCCAATAGTTGTACATTACGAGATATATGTCTGTGATTACAAGACTAAACATATCCGATGCAGACATAACTATTAGTGCAAAAACTTCTGTATTCTCAAGGTTAATTTTATATTAGAATTAAAATTGTTATTTTAATAGGAATTTACGATACCTGTGTTTTTTTAAATTGCCTAGAAATGTAATCTTGTCGAAACGCATATAATAGTGAAAGGATTTTATCTTTTTAATATAGAAATATTTATGTCATTTACGTTTTAAAGAATGCTTAATTTAAGACCAATACATACTTCATACATTTAAAGTTATTTGTTTTTACCGCCGTTGACCGCTGCTTATATCACTTAATTGATTTATTAGTCTGCCTAGATAACATTTTATAAATTTTAGCTGCCACCAACTGCCCCCATGGATGTGAGAACACTTTAACTAACTACCCTCAAAATCAACGATATAAAATCGTGACCGTCAGGATGGCTGGTCGCCTGTCGCATCTGGCACTAAGTGTATATTCAAGAATTGCTACCTATTTGCTACCTTTTCTAAATAATTGCTACCTTTGATATATTCTGAGATATTAAAAAATAATTAACCAGCCATTCTGACGTCAGAATGGCTGGTCCCCACTTTGTTCAGCAGATTTTCCAGAAGTATGTATTACCAATAATTGCTACGTATTTGCTACTTTCACGAATTAAAGGTATACGCTTCTTATCTACATTAGTTAAAAAAATTTAACCGATTGAAAATTTCACGAAGAAGTGCCTGATTTAATTAAAAAAACCAAAGATTTTAGTGCTTTATTGCCATAATACAAAGAGCAGGCGTTGGTACTACTTCGTAAAATTTTCAATCGTTTATATTTTTTTAGTAATGTAGATAGGAAGTGTACACCTTTAATTCGTGAAAGTAGCAAATAGGTAGCAATTATTGGTAATATATACTTCTGGAAAATCTGCTCCCTTCATGCTGAACGAAGTGGCGACCAGCCATCCTGACGTCAGAATGGCTGGTCAATTATTTTTTTTATTCCTCAGAATATATCAAAGGTAGCAATTATTTCGAAAAGGCAGAAAGGAGTAGCAAATAGGTAGTGATTCTTGAATATACACTCAGTGCCAGATGCGACAGGCGACCAGCCATCCCGACAGTCACTATAAAAGTCTAATATTGAAAGAAATATTTTAAACGAAATATTTTCATTTATTTGTAATAAAAATTATTAATACCGAAATTGTTAATTATACGTAATTTTGTTATCACAAAAATATTTATTTCATCCTTAAACACCCTATAAAACCAATAGTCTTGTTTTACTTTAAAAACATAACATTTTTCGCGGTACTATACAAAGTGCGCCACGAAATGTTAATTATACGTATACTTTTATTATGAAAAACATATTTATTTCATTCTTAAATACCCTAAACATACCAAGAGTCTTATTTTACTATAAAAACATAATATTTTCCGCGTTGCCATACAAACACCTGGCCAAGAGGGTAAGCCGGGGGTTTTAGTGGGATGACCTCCGCGGAAGCTACTCCCACTAAACCTTGAGCACCCCCGGGATCGAGGGTATGCATAAAGCATTTCCCCCGTAAACAAAAAAGGCAGTTACGTAGACGTCGTAGCCCCTATTTTCTAAATTTGTCAATTATCGCAGAAAATGTTTCTTTTGTCGCCAGTGAAAGTTCCGTTCTGGGAGAGAATCGTTGCAATTATGAAAGACAGTTACTAGTTATAGTAGAATTGTTCAATTTGTGGAGTAAGGTAGAGCAACATCGCAGTTTACACAACAGCTAATTTATCAGAGTGGATTTTCTAAACACACCTGACACACAGCAGCTAAAAAAATGTAAAATAAAGGCTAGCAAGTTAGAAATTACCATTGACATTATATGTAATTTGGAGGACCAAACTCCAACCACTGCTAACACGAGTATTGGTATTGAAAATCATTTCTTACACCACCGTTTCAGGGCCTAACCAAAGTTTATAATATGAAAGATAGTATCACCTGTTGCTGACGATGCAATGTTTTTCTAACGAACGCAGCACAATGCGCAGCATTTTATTGCCAAGTTTGTTTATCGACAACGGCCACTTGAGCTGCGGGTAAACGCAGCATGACACAGTCTTTTGTCTGATCGTAGTGCTTGTCAGTATACGGAGTATTACCGCGATTATCACTTGAACTTTTTCTAACGGTGGCGTTTTTTGCTCCAACAATTTGTACACGAGTTCTGAAAATTGGTTGATTACAATGTAAATAACTACACGATATATAATGATAGTGTGTGATCCCGTGGAAGTAAAAACATTAACATAATATTAACTTTTTATGAAAATGAAAATTCTAACTCAAAAGTTTGTGGAATTATATCTATTTGCCAAGTTTTGTTGAAATCGGTTGACGGAAAGTGGTGACAGCCAATAAACCGAATTATATTCTTGAAATTCGAATGCATGGTTCCACTCTAATTTAAAGAGGAACCACATTTCCAACAATAAATGAATCAGTTCACAAATGTCGGAGCAATAGCGTAACAGAAACACAAAAAATACAGTCTAATTAAGAACTTCCTCCTTTTTTGAAGTTGGTTAGAAATTGCTTCAAGAGTAAAAGAAGCTATAGCTAATAAACTCTTTTTGATTCCACTAGGGGTCAAGTACGATCTCCCTTAGGACTGGCGGCTTAATAGACATCCTGTCAAGTAAGTAGCAGGTATTATTAAATGCTTCTTAGACAGAGTAAAAGTTGGCTATTTTAATTTTTTACTATAAGTAGGCAAATACAGTGTATTCCGTATGTAATTTTTAGTATGGTTAACTACAGTTTTGATAAAAATTCTGCGTAAAGTTAAATAGAATACCAAAGTAGTCTGCGTGTTTAAAATTGAGAATCATACCAAACAAATAATTAAAATTTTGTTTTACATGCGTAACTTGTTGTATTTTTATACTGAAAATGTTAAGAGAAGGTCTCGTAAAAGTCAGGATTATGAAAAAAACGGGCATACGACAGATTTAAAGCAATTACAAAAGTTCCTTCAGCACTGACAATATGAATCAATGTTTTGTCTTTTACAGAATAATTCCCTACACTCATTTGACAAACCGTATGACATTAGAACTACAAGCTCTTACGTAATAATATGATCAAGCCGTGGGAATTGAACATGACCTCAATCGCGTCTTCTCGGGCCTTGGTTCCCCTGGTGCTCATGCAAGTCTGGAGTACTCTTACGCACCAATACAATAATGCCAACTCGAAAGGGCTTTCTGAGTACCATTCTATATACCACATTATTCTACAAAAAAGCGGACAATCCATATAGTTGTATAAACTTATCTAGGGCCTTGCAATGAGTTCACAATGACAGTTGTCAGAAGCGACCGCGTAAAGTAGTTCCTATACAAAATCTTCTTGCGTTCCTACAAGAAGCTACTTGTGAAGTGCTTTATAATTTGCCATCCTAAATTGTAAGTATTTTAAGCAGTCGCTAGCGAAGACCGTCGCTGTAAATTCATGGTAGAGGCACTGATTTGTGACGTTCTATTACGACATCACGTTTTGAGACTATGGTTGCAATAGGTCACAGGTAAAAACATACACATTATAAAACTGTGAAAAATTTGTTATTTAAAATTGCACTTTATGTCATATATTTACAATAAAAATAAGTAAAATGTATTGTTTATATGGTTTTTCCTGTGACTGAGAGTTATTGTAATGTTTATAGTGCACCGTGTATTTTTAGTATTAGGTATTGAAAGAATCTAAAAACATTTGCGCCACACGTTGGCGCAACCAAGGAAACGGGTAATTCGAAAGTGGTTGTCGAAACACAAGCGTTTTCGCATATGTTCATTTTGTTGTAATTAACGTTTTGTTGTTATAAGTAGGCTGCAAGATGACTACAAAAATTACAATTTTAATCCAAATGTAGGAGACATCAAGATGATTCATATCCTACTTGCTGGTTCTAGAGATATATTAAAACTATTTATGTTGCAGGTTTTTGTTATTTTTTTGCAATGTTGGCTGAACCAACGACAGTCGTTATGTAAAGAGTGTATTTATTACACCAAAGTAGAATATTAAATATGTTGTAAAAATATACAACGAACACTTTAATATGACTTTTCAATTTAGTTATTTGACAGCGCGTAATAGCCCGTATTAATTATATTTTAATTAGCTATTAATTGTTGATTTGACTTGTCAGGCCGGATTCATTCCCTAGTTTACCATCCTTAGATATTATATTATAATGTTAGAATATTTTCTTCAAAGACCACTCTCTCCAATAAAAAAAGAATCATCAAAATCGGTTCACAAATGCCGAGGTTACACACATACATACAAAAAAAGCAGTCGAATTGAGAAATTCCTCCTTTTTTTGAAGTCGGTTAAAAATGTTAATAAGCAATTTAAATTTCTTCATGTATGATTCAGAAATAGTAATAAAAAACAAAATATAAAAACCCCCATGCAAAATAGCGTACTCAAATGATCAATAAAATAACTATCAGTGGTTGTCGAGATTAATCCAAACAGTACAAACTCGGTGGGTAATAAAATTTAGTTACTATGTCCACAGTTCCTGCTCCACCATCAGACCCTATTCATCAGGTTACCATGCCGGACAGCCACGCAGAGGTCCCAGGTTCGAATCCCGGGCCGGAAGAAATATATGTATGGCAAACATTTATTTCTCCCGTAAGTTTGGGTGTAATTTGTGGTTGTCTATGTGTGCGTCCTTGGCACCCGCAACACAGGGTTTCCCTAGTGCGGGGCTATGTGTGTGTGCGGTGTTATTATTAATATTATAAACCAACTACTCGTCGAAACGAATACATTGAACCCAAACACGATAGTTCTGCTTTAAGCAATTGAGGAGTTCGGTAGTTTGCAGACTGATCTGGTTGCAGCAGCATCAAACAAAGGTTACCACATTATTTAGTGTCATCGGACTTACGTATTATGCTAAATATCAAGTCAAGTAAAGATAGGCCAAATGGAAACGATATAAACATTAATTGTATTACTTATATATTATGACCTTTAAACAGTTACATAGATGTTCATCGAGCACAGCTAAGAAAGATCCTGATTAAATTAGCATTCAAATAAAAAAATATCGCTTCAAGATCAGTCCATACATTTCGGAGCTTCTATGGCCACAGACACACAGATACACGTAGCAAGTAGCAGTAGAGCTCCTATTGAAAGAGTTCGTCCAGGGAAGTACTGCTACCTTACCTATTTCTGCCGCCAAGCAGTAAAATAAATAAACAAATAACGCGCGCACACTCATGGCCCCGCACTAGGGAAGCCTTGTCGCATGTGCATGGACACACACATAGACAACCACAGATTACACCCAAACCCACGAGAGAAATAAATATAGGCCAAATATTTCTCCCGGCCCAGGACCAATCCAGCATGATAACCATTCAGCCACAAAGGCAGTGTTACTGTGTTCCAGTTTTGAAGGGTAAGTAAGAGTGCAGGTGAAATTATACGCACGTGAGACTTGTCAACTTTCTCAGGGTGACGGACGCAGTGGCAGTGCCCCTTAGATCGTGGCGATTTAAAGCTCTATATGGCACTGCAACTGTCGTGGGCAGCGTGTAGCTTACCATCAGGTACACGACTTGTTCGTCCCGTCACTTGATATTATAAAAAAAACATGGTCAAAGGCTTCAAACTCCCCCCTTTTTACGTCGAGGGTTAAAATAAGCAATGACATTAATATGCCGCCATCTGGTGAACATAAAAACAAGGACCAATAAGTATTTTAATTGAAGGAAAGAAAGAAGCGCATATTTATTTCATAATTAATTGCCACAAGATTAAATCAGGGCAAAAGAATGATGACTAAGTAGGTATCGTGGAATACGACGTCAAAATCAAAATTAGCCTAGACGAAATAATTTCAATAGTGAATCAAAAGTGTAAGAAGCTAGAGCTGATACAAATATTCACTAAAATAATTTTACCTTCTAATGATATTGTGTTGGGAAGAAATGGATTTGTTTATTTTTGGTAATACGATTGTAAAAGCCTGTAGGACAACTTTCCGAAGCTCACTAAATAGTACTGCCGTCCAATTAGTTCTTAGGCTACAGAGCCCCGGATCTATTAAGTACATTAGCCCGGTGACCCAATGTAGATGCTCAGCCATCTGAAAATATGTATGCAAAGAGAAGAAAAATTTTGACGTTTGACATTTACCATTAAAGCGAACTATACCTATCACCGTCGTCGTAGTTCAGCATGAGTTGTTATTATTTTAAATTTTTTTACGTTTTAAGAGCTTAAAGGTTATTAGGAGCATTACACTAAAACATATACGTACCCAAGTATTCTGAGGGCAAGTTTTAAAGAAGTCCACTGACAAGTAGATGAGCATTTTTTTGAACTGAACGTCTTGTTGAGAAGGGTTGAAGTTGACTGTCCTTGTCCAATCGTTAAGGGGAGGGAGCTCGGTTACAACGGAGAGAGTCAATACGTCTGGCAAATAAAATAAAGGTAAGTAAGATTATTTAAAGTATCTGGGGGTGATATATTCTACAAGAACTCGTTTTCGAGCAGCTGTTCACTTGGCGGTAGCGCATATAAGCATGAAATACGCGGGCGAGTGGTGCCATCTCGCGCCCGCGCTCTGTGGCTGTCGCCCATACACGGAATTAGTGCGCCGCGCTCCCGACCCGATCCGCGCCTGCTCTCTGTGTTTTTCACAGTTGTAAGTCTGCTCGCGTGGATTATCAATATCCAGCCATTTTTGTCGTTGATAACCAGGTGCTCTACTACAGGGCATTTTAATTTGATACAGTTTAATTTGAGGAACAATTTAATATCGTTTTGTTAACCTTATTTGTAATCTTAACGACGTATGTAGGTTTGGGCGCAGTAATTGTATTGTACTTAACCAAATATACAATAATATCTAGGTTATGCACACGCCTTTAATTTCATGTGTAAGGCCTTCCACCCAAATTTTACCACTCATAAAATTATGATAATGCTGTTGTTTGTAGTCATTATGCTTTCGAATCATGCCAAATCAGATTTCACTGTGATCCTAATGGAGTCTATAAATTGATATATATCTTGAAGCGAAGAAAAAGATGCTTCAAAAAGTCGTAGCAAATAAGAAATTCTAAACAGCCAAGTTTACATTTGCAGTCAAGTAAACGCTTTTTGGAGATTGCGTACACAATTCGACGTTTACTCATCCTTCTGGTTTGTTAAGCTTTAAAATTCATTGTTTTGCTTCATCGAGAAATTTATAATATCAAATAGCAAATAGGCTTCTTATAGCCAAGCCTAGCAACTGAACGTGAATTTAATATATCGACAGCTCATTAGACAACTTAATATTCTATGGTTACTGATGTAGGTATCATTAAGATTTGAAGAGACAAGTACTTGATCGCACAGTTCCACTTTTAGCGCACCACGTGTGAAGTGCATATAAAAATAGGACTTTGAAGTAATAAAAGGACATATCTTACTTTTTACTTATACAGTCATTGTTAAATATGCAACTGTATCCACAAGGTAAAATTTGCATTAAACTTCACTATTAAGGAATGTAAATTTTAAAAAACACTATTTGGTTTTTTTCTCTCTTTAAGCAGAGCCTGTCGTTTATTACCTTAGATATAATTATAGCATTGTTCCAAGTTAGATGATACTACTTGACTTATAAATATTTTTCACGTTTGTTCATTCTCTTCCACAAAATCATAATCTACGTAGGCCCCGGCAATGCATTTGACGCGCATCCTTTAAAAGATATTTCTATAGGCTGCGCAACAGATTTCAAACGTTGATTACTATGATCGTAACATATCTTGTACATAAATCAATTTGTTGTTAACTATTATAGGGCCCATTTTCATGTGATCGGAATAAGTTTGTCCTTAAGAAATATTTTTCTCCATATAAATAAATATACATATAATATTACATATTATTATTTACATTATCTGTAATACTATCATTATTAATATTACATATTATATTATATTGATTCGCATGGAAAAAAAACAGCACGTTGGAAACGCACTTTCTATTATTTATATTTAAATTACTCATTTTTTTACGCTCATAGCCCTGAACCAATTACACCCAAACTCACGAGAGAAATAAATGTAGGCAATACAAATATTTCTCCCCGCCCAGGAATCGAACCCGGGACCTCTGCGTCTCTGTCTAGCATGGTAGCCGTTCGACCATGGAGACAATTACTAAATATTATTATTTCTTATCTGACCTTGCATAAGTGTGTTGCAAAATGTAGCCAATCTTTCACCGAAGATGTGCAGTAGGACATTACTGATAACCGTCATAGTGATCCGCTCATGGCGATGCCCTCGAGCTCGGCATTCGTAGCGATAAGCCCAGATGAAGCATCTAAACAAATTTTATCGTCAACAATAAGACGTAGGCCGCTCTCAAACTGCACTACAACCGGTCCTGCATCTTGCTCATTCACCTGCTTCTCACTACCTCTCACTACCTCTCCCAGATCGACCCTGGATAACATTTTATATAAGGCACTTAACGTAATAATTCGTGCGTATCACCGTTTTCTTATGTACACTGAATAGAGAGTTTACGTCAAATCCACTTCGTAAAATACAGAACAATAAAATAAAAGCATAGAGTACAAGATATTTCACAAGCAAAAAGACATTTGCCATCCACCGATCATGTGTGACAGCCTTCGGTGTACTGTACAAATGTTGTCATTGGAGTCAACCATCATATCACATCCTTGGTTTAGTACAACTTTATAACACAAAACTAAAAGCAAAAAGTTATAAAAAAAATTATAACTTTTTGCTTTTAGATGACACACGGAAAGTATACCAAAAATGTGAAGTTCCACTGTGAACTTTATTTTCAATCGTATTTTTTGAACAAGTTTTTAACTAAACTTTACCTTGTCGTTTTGCTACTAAGTATTTGCAAGTTATAATCTTTCTGCAGAGGTGGTCGTTTTGCAATGTAGTCCTTATGCTGATCAGGTCATTTTCAAGATATGATATCATAATACCGGCCCATGTAATATGTGATTAAAGCACTTTTGGCATATGATGACAAGTGGCTTTGTTATATTAAGAGTACGTTGGCTGCTACTAGACGGACTGTAAGCGCGAAGTCGATAATATACAACTGCATGCAGTCGACACTGACTTATAGCAGTTATAACCGCGGGCCTATTTCACGACCTCCGTGTATTATATTTATAATACTATATATTGTCGATATGAAAGAAGTTTTACTTTTTATTAAGAAAATAAACATATCACATATCCAAATCCTGAATTTAATTTTATCAACAAATTCACATCCGTAATGCCATTACAAAAAAAAGTTACGAATTGTGCAAATGATAAATCCGCCGAGAAAAGTTTTACAAATTGTGTTTATGTTTTACCATTAAGTTGATCAAACCTTCATGTGTGTTCAGCAGTGGACGTCTTGATGATGATGATGATGATGATGATGTATCTAATCGTTACCTTTTACAGTTAGAACTAAATTATATAAATAACTTAATTATAAAAAATTTCAGACAAAAAAGAAATATATTTTTTTACAATGTCAACTGCTACTTTTGGTTCTCGGATTCGGTCACATCGACTGCAGCCAACGCTTGCAGTTGAACTCTCGACTGCACACAGTTGAGGTATCGACTGTATACAGTCGTGGTCTCGAGTGCACGCAGTCGATAGCACACATTAATTGCAATCCAACTGTTGGCAGCCCAAAACGAAATTGTTAGATAATACATAATGTTAACCTCTGTGCGTAGTCGTCCGGACAGGGAAGGCGTTTGGCGTAATCAGGATGATCAGCGACATAATTCTTCATAGTTTGTAAAAGCACCAAAAGGAGTGACAAAGTTGTCGACATGTGAACAGTACTTGCACCTATTACGTTATTAAAATTTAATACATTGTGCTTGCAATATATATGAATATATAAATTTAACAGAGTTTGCCAAGTGGTAGTGCGTAGTTACCATTAAAATGAAAAGTCTCAGTTTATCCGTAAAAGAATCATCGCATATTATTCGCTACAACTCAAATTAATATACATGGTGACTTTTTTGTTTCACTATATTTTGGACCTATTCTACCCACCAGTATGAACAACTTTTTTAATTTTAAGAAACCCTCGAATATCGAAAATATTGATAAATACTTAGCTCGAGAGCGTTTGCGCACTACGTTCGATTCGTATCACTTCCGGATCCGAGAAATGACGGCCCGAAACGTCTCAGGGATGATCATTTTATCTCTAGGTGTACAAGCGACATCCGAAGTGGGTCCGACTTTTCTAGATTTGTATAGCCTCGGATTCGGAACGAATACGAATCGGATACAGTGCGACCACGATATGAGTCCTTTATGTAACATATCTGTGTAGGTACCCTCTTTCGCTACTACTACTACCTTCATCGCTTGTGGCTTTATCATTGTCATTCGCTTTTTTATGAGTGACAATGGTAACGTCAAAACTCCGTCACACGCTTAAGGTTACGCGATAAGTGCCTATCGCTGAGCTACCGCGCAAGCGCTCATACAATTCTTTCACTTATGAGCATTTGGCTTCGTACGACTGCACCTTTGTGAGCCCCTTGTGATGACACCAGGCGCTCACTTCGAGGGAAAAGGAACCTACTATACTACCAAGGATTAATGATTAGTCAGAGTCAGTAGGTTATTACAGCGTAGGTGTTTTCGATTTCTTATGAGACTTATGTATCTGTTACGTAGTAACTATCAAGTAATCTATGGTAATGCTACAAGTAATCGAGATGAAGGTAGTCATGGACTGCGAAAGAGGGTAGACAGTTATATCGGTTCTTAAAGCTCTCATCAACCGCTGGACAATCATCCCGTGACCATGGATCGTATAACCATTCCGAAATATCAAAAAAAGAACACGTACAGTAGTGAGAACCCTGTAAGTAACTGATAATAATTCAGTATTGAATTAGACTTTGCTATGGCCTAAGCCCTCTCGTTACATTAGACCCTTGCCCAGCGGCTTAGAGGGGTATTTTCTTACTTACTCTTGGTGTAAAAAGGCCACATCTACAAAATTACTATTTTTCAGAAGGAATTTAGGAGATTTATTTAGGAAAGAAATTATTCGAAACTTTTTAAGCTTAATTATAAAATTTCACTTATACGTAATTTTTTTCATGTATTTTTCGTATTATTTTTCATGTGACAAAAGCACTTTCGACGTATGAACACCAGTAGCTTTATTACACCAACGGTACGATTTTGTAAGTACAGAATACGAAATAAATAAGAAAATTCTGTTAAATAATCAGAATAAAAATTAAGGAATGCTGTTCTTAATTTTTTTTCTGTAACCAGAAAGAAATTTAAGAACAACATTCCTAAAATAACTTTAAAGATTAATTAAGTAGAAAACCAACCTAATTTCAGATAGATACTGTCAAGATCTGGGTTGATTTCAAATAATGGCAAAGGTTTTTCAGGAAAATAAGGATTGAAACGGTAAAATATATTCTCAAAAATATTTTCCTCCATTAAATCGAGACCTGAAAAAATTAAAGCTGTAAGTTTGAACTTTACTGTCCTCTTTGTATACAAAAGTTTTTCCTAAATATCGATGTTTTCTATTAAATTACGATTGCAGCCAATCCTAGTGTTTTGTTATGTGATTACATAAAAATCAGTTATTTGAGCGAAATAAATTTGTATAAAAACTTAAAAAGCGAGTATGCAAGTGGGTGTTATTGAAACGCATTACGTTTTATATTTGCGCAATATAAAGGTGGTTGTAAACAGTAACGTTTTGCTTACGACACATAAATGCAAAAACTTTAATGTTACACAATTTGAAGCAGGGTGACTTTATCGAACTGCTTTCCCTACGGAACCTGATCCGATAATTTTTTTCTTACTCCACATAAAACACAATCGGATGATCGAAGAATTTGTAAGGAAGGTAATGTTATTGGAGATTAATACTCACAATTGTCGACCGAATCACAAGCCAATAAAAACACAATGTCGAGATACGCTGGGAATCTGTGTGGTGTAGCTATTGCCAACATTCTGACCGATGTCTGGTATAAAACTTTAGCTGAGGCAGCAAGAATTTGCTGCAACCTGGCAGTACCTATCCCTCGCTTTGAGTTAGGAGCTGACATTTGCCAAACCAGCGCCTTAGACACCATGTCAAAGATGTCATCGTCCTCCGAGCGCATTAAGAGGTACCCTGAGAAAATTCGGGTAAAGAACCAATTGTCTTCCGAGAATAATTATCTTACCACGACATGGTACCGTTAGGCATAGTATTTTTGTGTTAACCTTTACAGTTGTAGGTACATGCACAAGTTTACATTAATATGATATCTCATTGCTAATTGAATAAACATCATTTTTCGCCCTCGAAAACGAAACTGACTAGCTTAACTATGGCTGAGTGAGTAAATTTATAAATTGCGCTGACGGCGAAAAAAAACTTTAAACCCAGCATAAGGATCCGTAACAAACACAGAGCATCAATAAGATCTGCTGACTCTGTGTGTTGCTCATTTGGTGAAGAGCTCGGCCCCGGCATGGCAACTGAAGCTGGTTCAGGTCCAGTCAGATCGAATGTTTTCTTTGTTTTCAATCTTTGTATCAATAATAATAACAAAGTAGTGGAGTATTTTCACAAAAAACATATGAAATTGTATATCATAGTAAAACATAGGTATATTCAATAAATAAATACAACTATAACCTGATTATTAATACAAAGATCGAACGCTAAGAAAAAATTCCTTCGGTCCAGCTGGATTCAAACCAGCGCCTTCTAGCAGACCGTGCTAGACCCTATGCTATTAGCTGGCATGCCACGGAATGAACCAGCGGACCTTACGAATTTTTCTATGTGCTTGTTGCAAATCTTTGGTTTTGGTTTTCAATGCCTTTTTAGCACCATCTGTGAGAAATCCTTTACAGCTACCAACAGCTGACTAGAGATGTCGCTCTAATAATTAAAATCACTAAGTTTAAAGCAAAAATAATTAATTTTTCTGAATGTAAAATTGCATGTATGTTTACTGAGGATGTTTCACAATCATGATATTTAATTATTTTTTGTGAAATTACTATAATGACTGCATCCGTGGCCGAACGGTTACCATACCAGACTGCCACGCAGAGGTCCCAGGTTCAATTCCCGGGCCGGGAGAAATATTTGTGTATGGGTGTAATTTATGGTTGTCTATGTGTGACTATGCGACACAGGGTTTCCCTTGTGCGGGGCTATGTGTGTAGGCGGTATTATTATTATTATTATAGTATTTATTTTAAACTCTCGCCTCTCCCAAGGCCTAAAAGATTAATTTTGAATTTTTAAATGGGAGAGGCGGTATTTCCCGGCAATGGCACAGTCGGCCGGGGTCAGGGACTCAGGTCCAAGAATCGGCGAACAATACGTGCCGTATCGAGCAGGACCGCCTTCTGCATTTGTGCTGGAAGCGACACGCCACAGAAATCCAACCGCCTCAAGCTGTTAGAAAGGCTGACTGGAATTAACCCATTTGCGGACAAAACAATTGGGATTATTTCAGTGGAGGCCACATCCCACATGTCGGTGATCTCGTGCGCCAGGTCGAGATACTTCCGGCGTTTCTCGGTTTCAGCTTTCACGAGACCCTCGTCATGCGGGATGGTGACGTCCACAAGAAATACCCTCGACTGCGATCGATCCAATATCACAATATCAGGCTTATTCGCAAGAATAGTCCTGTCCGTGATAATAGATCGATCCCAATAGATTTTGGTGCGGTCATCTTCGAGTATTGGCTCCGGTGAATACTTGTAATATGGCAACCTCTGTTGCACTAGTCCGTACTTGAGAGCGAGCTCTTGGTGTAATATTTTGGCTGCCTGGTTGTGTCTGTGCAAGTACTCAGTGTTAGCGAGAGCGGAACAACCGGAAACAATATGCCTAAGTGACTCTCCGGGACGGCCACATGCCCGACAAATGTCTACTGTGCCGTCCTTTAGGATATATTTCCGATAGTTCCTCGTCTTGATAACCCGATCCTGTATTGCACAGACAAAACCTTCGGTTTCCCCAAAGAGGTCCCCGAAACGCAGCCAATGTAGGGAGGCTTTACGATCCATAAAAGGCTCGTGGAGTACCTTGAAGAACCTCCCATGGAGCTCCTTCTCTTTCCATACGGACTCGCGGTCAGAGGTGCTAAGCACCACCGGGTCTCGCCATTCCTCTTTGGCCAACGATAAGGGAGTTAGCCCTTTATCACATGTGACAACCTCTCCACGAATCACGTCATCCGTCATCGTCAAAAAGTAGTTTCTGAGACTGCATATCTCGCGGTTGTGCATGGTTTTGACACTTAATAGGCCTCTACCTCCACACTTCCGCGGGACATACAATCTCATAACTGACGATCTCGGATGATGCATTCGGTGAGAGGTCATCGTCGTGCGGACTCGTCTATCCAGAGCGTCTAATTCCGTCTGAGTCCATTTGAGCACGCCAAATGTGTACATCAGAACAGGCATGACCCAGGAGTTATAAGCTCGGATCTTATTAACGCCTGACAAATAGCTGTTTAGCACATTTTTCAGGCGCCCATAAAAAACCTCGCACACACCCTGTTTCACGTCTGCTTCCTTCACACCGATGGTCTGCGACATGCCCAAATACCGGTATGTTTCAGTCTCGGAGAGTACCCGCAGGTGATTGGTGCCAATATTAATGCCATCAGAATGCATGACACGTCCCTTCTCAACATGGACCACCGCGCACTTATCGATCCCAAGCTCCATCCTAACCGAACTGCTGAAATCGTTGGTGATTGTCAGCAGCTCCGTCAATCTGTCAGCTGTGGGGCCGTATAGCTTGAGATCATCCATGTAGAGAAGGTGAGGCATTCGCGGCCCACCTCTCCGAAACTGAAAGCCTGTGCCCGACCTCTCCAATAGAGTACTCAGAGGGTTCAGGGCCAGGCAAAACCACAGTGGACTCAGACAGTCACCCTGGAAAATACCTCGCCTTATTTCTATTCGGTCATCCGCATCCGTCATCCGCCGACCGTCCAGACTCAGGATCGTTCTCCAACATCCCATGCATTGCCCGAGGAAGTGTCGAGCTGCACTGTCAATTTTATACAGTTCGAGGACCCTCGAGAGCCATGAGTGGGGCACCGAGTCGAACGCTTTCCTATAGTCTATCCAGGCAGCGGAGAAATTCCGACGGTTGCGTCTGACAAGTTGGCCAGCGACCGCGTCGATGAGGAGCAGCTCCTTACTACCGCGGCTACCGCCCCTACATCCGTTCTGAGCCTCAGACATCACACTGTTATCAACAATGTGCTGACTTATCTTGGAGCTCAAAACAGATGTTAAAGTCTTGTATATTGTACAAAGACAAGTTATGGGGCGATACTGTGATGGATCCACGGTAGCATCGCTCTTTGGAGCTAAATGAGTGACCCCAGTAGTTAAGAAGTTTGGGAGCGTCCCACTCTCAAGGGCACTTTGGAACTGACGAGCGAGAGTAGCGTGGCAGCACCAGAACCCCTTCAGCCAATAATGATGCAGTCCGTCCGGTCCCGGACTTTTCCAGTTCGGAGCCTTGCGGACCGCTACCGCTACATCCTCTTCGGATATGCTGATGGGATTCATAGGCGCTATGGTTGCACATGCTCTCTCGACCGCTTCGAACCATGGACCCTCTTCGTGATCGACGGGCTGCGACCAAAGCCTTCGCCAAAAGGCGACCACTTCTGCTTTGTCCGGACGCTCACCCGTCAAGACCACATCAGGACACTCCAGTGTCCTATAAAACTTCTTTTGGTCACTCATGAAGAGACGATTCTGATACCTCTTCACCCTTTCGGAATATCGCCGAATCCGCTTGCCCCAAGCAGCTATCTTCTGCTTCAGATCATCGATGCGCCCTGTCAGTTTTCGTGCAAACTCCGGTGAGTCTACAAAAATGTTCTCACCGGGGAATGCTTCTCGGACAAAGCGCATCACTCTCGGCCTTGTGACTCCTGATCTGAAGCTAGTCAGTTTGCCGATGAGGACCCTGGCCCATGCTATACGACCCTCAATTCGCCTCATCCAGGCTGGCTTAGTACTAGTCCTAGGAGTAGTGCTGCCAACCTGGTGGTTACCGCCGGGTCTTGTTGGCGGCATCCTGACGCCGACAAATTGACACACAGTCATTGCGGCAGCGAAGAGAATTGAGTCTGTCTCCCAAAGGTCTGCGCATTCCTCTAAAAATGAGGGAAGCATGTTGTTAATGGCCCCAACGGCATCCCGAACCTTGATACTGAGAGGCACTCGAGGCAGCCGTGGCCTTCGCTCAAGAGGCACGTGGCGATATTCCAGAATCGTCTCCTCCAGACTACTCCTCAACGCTTCCAAATCCAGGGCGACTGTTCCCCAATCACTTTCAGTACCACCCGTATCCGGCTGCTGAGCACTAGGTTCCCTGTGAACTTCCCTGCTGGGAACAGGAGAACGCTCCAGGCTGGGTGGCTCTTCTTCCAGTGGAGGAACAGCCTCGCATCGTAATTGCTCGAGTTCGGCAGCGCTAAAAAGTCCTGAGCGCTGTAGGTACCGAACCCGGTCCGCCAGGTTTTGTTCTGTGACGGTCAAAGTTGGCTCCAGCCGAAGAAATTCGCGGTACATTACTGCTCGATAACCTGTCCGTCCGGTTCCCGAACCTGAGGCCCTAAAATAGGCCCGCATGGCATTTTTATTCATATCAATCGTCCATGCCATGCGGCGCCGTACTCCACCAGAGGCGGGTACCGATTGCTGGGACCAAGTTGCCCCAGCCCCTGCCGATACCATGCCAACTGGTGGTGATGGATCGTGAGTAGACTGGCCGGATGGTCGGGCCAGTCTGCCGCGGCTGGGGGCCCGCATACTGCCACGCCCAGCCCCAGCTCCAGGCGCGCCCCGGCGATTACCCCCGGGAAGCGGCCCTATTCGCTCATCGTAACTATTGTGCTCCATCATTTACGATGAGCAATTTTACACCCGGGGTTTTCACTCACTTACCCCGGGGAGACCGTTATTTACCCTATTTAACGCTGAGACCAGTTCCTTGACACGGTTCTGTACATCAATGAACTCAAGCGCTGACTGTTTGCACTACTGAAACGGTAAAGTGACATGATATTCACTGTGCCGTTCCACCAGTGGGCGATGAGGTCGTCACATCCCTACGCCG